ATATGCTCGGATATTTGTCCTTGGACATTATCTGTTCCTCAAAGCTCACAGTTTTCCTCGAGCTACGCTCCAGGAAAACTGTTCGCTTATCAGAGTTAGGGCTATGAAGCTTGGGCAAGTTTTATATCGTTTGTGTCCAAATACTTACCCCATAAGGCATAGGCGATCTGGTAACCAGAAAATCGAAGCCCTTTTCCCTGAAAAAATAGCAACAAAGTTTCGATAAGGCTATTATTTTTTCTTGATTTTGAACGTTAGGCGCCGTTTCAAAAAACAGCTCTAAAAAATTTCGTTTTTTCATGGTGGATAGCCGTAGTACATCAAGTTAACCTCCCTTGTGTATCTATTCCTCAAATCCTAAATTCGAGACGAGACCTTGGACACAAGGTCGATTGTGTCAAATTGCACCATTGCGTAATTTCACAAAGACTGGTAATGAGAACAAAGGACCTCCGCGACCTTGAAGAGGGTCCTCGTATAGGAAGAGATGGGGGATGGTTAGAAATCCCATATATATGATCTTTCATTTGGTATTCACTTGTCTCTTTACCATCTACGGGCATATTACGAACTCACAACGTGTCCCGCTCACAGTTGGCTTGATACCTCAGTTGGTAGAGCATCGCACCGGTATCGCAGAGGTCATGGGTTCGAATCCCATTCAACCCTGAATTTTATTCAGCTTTAGTTTCACATGCGACGATCATTCCTGTCTTCATATCTTTCTCCGCAGTTCAAATATTTGATCTTTTATACATTCACTTGAACTCTATTTCCCAGCCCAAAAGTTTGCCCAAATCTCTCACTCAGCTTCAAGAGAACCACAGTTCCGATTTTACCCCTTCGGGCGACTCCTTTAAGCAAAACACAATTTTAACACTACTCATGCTGTGACACATACAACTAGCCTTGCAGGAGAAACGGACACACTTTGAGCGAAGTCTCTTTGGCCACGACACAGTTGCTGGAAATGGTCTCTGCAATATAGAAACGAGTCAAAGCGCTATAAAATAGCTTGAAAAGATCCATGAAAAGGTTTCTCTTTCAAGGTTGCATTTATGTCGAAGCAGTGTTAAGCTATTTGCCAGTATGATGAGAGATCAAAATTTTGTCAAAATCGAAAATGACAAGAACAAACGATTAACATCATCTTCATTATCAAATATTCCAACAGAAAATGTCAAGACGAGATGTTTTGTCTTGGAACGG